CTGAAAATAGCTGTGCAGCGACACTCCCCATCCAACCTGATAGAGCTTGAGAGGATCTGCAGAGACGAATGGGAGAAACTCCCCAAATACAGGTGTGCCAAGCTTGTAGCGTCACACCCAAGAAGACTCAAGGCTGTATTCACTGCCAAAGGTGCTTCAACAAAGTACTGAGTAAAGGGTCTGAATACTTATGTAAATGTGATATTTCCCTTTTTTCTTTTTAATAATAATAAAAATAATACTGTTTTTGCTTTGTCATTATAGGGAATTGTGTGTAGCTTGATGAGGGGAAAAAACGATTTAATCCATTTTAGAATAAGGCTCTAACGTAACAAAATGTGGAAAATAGTCAAGGGGTCTGTATACTATCCGAATGCACTGTATCATATGATGATACAGTATATTGTTGTCACTCAAACCAGAGAACAGAATGGTTTTATGACTCATACCAGAGAACAGTACTGTATTATATATATAATATGTGGATATTCTGCAGCAAAAAAAAAAAAGAGAAGAAATGCCAGTGGAAAATTTGTTTAATCCCCACATGGGGGTAGTGTACTCAAGAGTGTGCATGCAAGAGTGTGCATGCGCACCAACAAACACACACACACACACACACACACAGAGATACATCTCCTCTGTGGTTGTAATAGATAGAGCTACATTTGCATGGCTGGAGGAGGAATGTCTAGAACAGATTATGTTTCAGGAAACTAGAGGCCAGAACAACAGCATTCCAGAGTACCAGGCAGCCACCAACTCCTCCATAGGGCTCTGACGGGCAGCGCCCCTCATTTCATGGTTGTGGTGCCGGAACTGACATGGCCACTCACATTTCAACAACATACTGGTTATTGTGGTTCCAAATGTTGAATAAAAAACTGTGATATAAGAAGAAGATGTGATCCTGATACAGTCAGGATGCTCTCGATGGTAGAGCTGTAGAACGCTTTGAGGCTCTTTGGACCCATGCCAAATCTTTTCAGTCTCCTGAGGGGGGAAAGGTGTTGTCGTGCCCTCTTCACAACAGTCTTGGTGTGTTTGGACCATGATAGTTCGTTGGTGATGTGGACACCAAGGAACTTGAAACTCTCGACCCGCTCCACTTCAGCCCCATCGCTGTTAATAGGGGCCTGTTCGGCCCTCCTTTTCCTATAGTCCACGATCAGCTCCTTTGTCTTGCTCACATTGAGGGAGAGGTTGTTGTCCTGGCACAACACTGCCAGGTCTCTGACCTCCTCCCTATAGGCTGTCCCATCGTTGTTGGTGATCAGGCCTACCACTGTTGTGTCGTCAGCAAACTTAATGATGGTGTTGGAGTCGTGCTTGGCCACGCAGTTGTGGGTGAACAGGGAGTACAGGAGGAGAATAAGCACGCACCCCTGAGGGGCCCCAGTGTTGAGGATCAGCGTGGCAGATGTGTTGTTGCCTACCCTTACCACCTGTCATGAAGTCCAGCATCCAGTTGCAGAGGAAGGTGTTTAGTCCCAGGGTCCTTAACTTAGTGATGAGCTTTGTGGGCACTATGGTGTTGAACGCTGAGCTGTAGTCAATTAACAGCATTCTCACATAGGTGTTCCTTTTGTCCAGGTGGGAAAGGGCAGTGTGGAGTGCGATTAAGATTGCGTCATCTGTGGATCTGTTGGGGCGTTATGCGAATTGGAGTGGGTCTATGGTTTCCGGCATGATGGTGTTGATGTGAGCCATGACCAGCCTTTCAAAGCACTTCATGTCTACCGACGTGAGGGCTACGGGGCGGTAATCATTTAGGCAGGTTACCTTCGCTTTCTTGGGCACAGGGACTATGGTGGTCTGTTTGAAACATGTAGGTATTCCAGACTCGGTCAGGGAGAGGTTGAAAATGTCAGTGAAGACACTTTCCAGTTGGTCCGCGCATGCTTTGAGGACACGTCCTGGTAATCCGTCTGGCCCCGCGGCCTTGTGAATGTTGACCTGTTTAAAGGTCTTGTTCACATCAGCTATGGAGAGCGTGATCACACAGTCATCTGGAACAGCTGGTGCTCTCATGCATGCTTCAGTATAGCTTGCCTCAAAGCGTGCATGAAAGGCATTTAGTTTGTCTGGTAGGATCGGGTCACTGAGCAAGTCGTGGCTTGGTTTCCCTTTGTAGTCGGTGTAGTAGGATTCAATCTTAGTCCTGTATTGACGCTTTGCCTGTTTGATGGTTCGTCTGAGAGCATAGCGGGATTTCTTTTAAGCATCCGGATTAGTGTCCCGCTCCTTGAAAACGGCAGCTCTATCCTTTAGCTCGGTGCGGATGTTGCCTGTAATCCATGGCTTCTGGTTGGGAAATGTACGTATGGTCACTGTGGGGACGACATCGTCGATGCACTTATTGATGAAGCCGGTGACTGAAGTCGTATACTCCTCAATGCCATTGGATGAATCCCGGAACATATTCCAGCAGGAGGTACCAGTCAATCACTGGTACCTCCTGCTTTAGGTTTTTCTTGTAAGCAGGAATCAGGAGGATTGAATTATGGTCAGATTTGCCAAATGGAGGGCGAGGGAGAGCTTTGTATGCGCCTCGGTATGTGGAGTAAAGGTGGTCTAGAGTTTTTTTTCCCTCTGGTTGCCCATGTGAAATGCTGGCAGAAATTAGGTAAAACGGATTTAAGTTTCCCTGCATTAAAGACCCCGGCCACTAGGAGCGCCAGTTCTGGATGAGCATTTTCTTGTTTGCTTATGGCCTTATACAGCTCGTTGTGTGCGGTCTTGGTGCCAGCATCGGTTTGTCATATTTGACAAGCGACCTCTTGATTTGACTTGCAAATGCAGTATCTGGCGCTTGCAATGCCAGGGTTGTGTTTTCGATTCTCACGGGGGGCCAGTATGAAAAATTAAAAAATCTTTTTACATTGTAGTAAAACAAAATACTTCATTTGATATGCGTTGACATCAAATTACATGGCATTACTACATTCTGTAGCAATGTATGTTTTGTTCAATTAAAAAATACATACAATTGAATGTGATTTGATTAAAATGAATGCCTTTAACTACAGTAGATGCAAAAAGGTGGGCGGATCATAAAAAATCTGTTATCTGGATAAGAGCATCTGCTAAATGACTAAAATGATAAAAAAAATGTATCTGAGACCTGCTGTTATAGTATTGAGTAATGGTGACCTATTTAACCATAACCACATCACTGTTTCTTGACAAGAGAAAATATTTCCATGCGCTCTCTTCTTCTATGTCTCTCTTACACATACACTCTCACACACACACACACACACACACACACACACACACACACACACACATACGTATGCACACAAGGCTCACGCGTGCATTCACGCATTCTCACTCTCTCTCACCATATATCACAAACACACACACACATTCATAAGCATTCACACTCCCGCATATAAATACAGTGAGGTTCTTCCTTATGAAAAAGGAAGTTGTAGAGAATAGAGAACACACTTTGATCTAACCAGGCGGTCCAGCTGACATACTATATCTTTGTCTGTACAGAAAAAAAGGTAAGAGATATATCCACAACAACATTCTCTATTACATAGTGATAACTTTATAATTCTGCAACAAATTAGTGATAGATTCTTTTTAAAGTAACAGTTTAAGAGAGTAATAGTGGAGAAATGCAGATGAGCATATCTATTTCCCTGTCAGTTAATGCACCAAGGTATTTGTACATATCATGGTAGTACTACTTTTATGCATAAGCATGAATAAACTACTTACAAATAGTTTACAGTCTATTCATAAATTAGTATTTCATCATTTAACATTTATTCGAATGTATACCATTACTTAAGCATTTATAATAATTTATTGATTAAAGTTATTACTACAAAGTTTAACCAATATCATTAATTAATAGTTGTAGATTGACAAGATGCTGCAAGGAAGTGAGGCAGAAGAAAGTTGATATTCGAGGATCCGTATAACAGATAGGAGGGTCGTTCCACGAATAGAGAGACTTTTGCGTCCCTTTGATATTTTAATTAATTTTAATATAGACCACATGGAAAATTCAATAAATCAAATTTTGTATATAAATAAAGACTTGCTAAAGTGCCAAAATGTATCATTTTGACATGCCCCTCTGTGCACCCTCTGTGACTTCTAGGAAGATTTTTACCCACTTAAACCAGACTTTCTCCAAATTTTCACCATCATTGTAAAGCCCTAGTTGTATTGTTGCTTTGACAAAGTAATTTCTAAAGACTATTATTTAATTCATGTGATTAGATGAATCACTAATCACATAAAATAAATAATAATCTTCAAATGTCTGTCCCTCAATTTAAGGTCAACCCTGTTACGTGAACTGAACTCTGATTTTAATATGGTGAAACTATTAATATTTTTATAAAAACCTGGTTCTACTCTTTTTGGCCATTTTGTGGTGTTTTGTGGTGGAAAATTGAGCACGTCAAGCATAACACGTCAACCCTGTTACCCATAGATAAACGGGCTAGAAATGTTTTAACAATTCAAATTGTTTTGTGAAGCTTGCATTCAATTGCCCCTCCCTGTTGCACACAACAAGCTTCCATTCCCCCTGTCACAAGGGATTAATGGCTGATTTAAGATGAAATCGTCAACCCTGTTACGGTCAACCCTGTTACTTTATTTGACACTTAATAGGCACTTACTATAGTATATTTTTTATTTAACCTCAAAAGGTGCTCATTTGGTGGAACGACCCAGGTACTTTAGAGGTTTTTGGGGGATATTGTCTGAGGAGTTAGTTCTCTAAAAAGAACACCTGTTGTTTTAAATGTAAAGCAAGCACAGTCTGTATCCTTTGATGAGAGAACACTGTGTGTTGCAGATCAACATTATTTCAAACAACAAATACTAGAGAGACAAGCTAACAACAAATCACTCCTCTTTACTCTGCTCTATGTGCATAAACCTGTGTACAAAATGGAAGCCAGGCTGCATACCCAGTGAAAGGAGTGGGAGGAACAGACAGCTATTTCAACACATCCTCTGTACAGACCATGAACTACACTGTGGGGAATGGTTCCGGTTCGGCCTCTTGCAACTTGATGGAGGTCTACACTTACCCATTCTTCACCGTAACCTACTCGCTGGTCTTCCTGATGGGCCTGGTTCTCAATGGCTTCACGGTGCGGGTCTACTTCTGCCGAGCCCAGCGCCACCAATCCAGCGTGACGGTATATCTGCAGAATCTGGCTGCGGCAGACTTCTTCCTCAGCCTGTGTCTGCCGCTCCGCATTGCCAACTACGCCACCCACAACTCGGCCCTCATGCGCCACGTCTACTGCAGCTTTGGAGCCACTGCCTTCTACCTCAACATGTACGCCAGCATCCTCTTCATGGACTACATCGCAGCCAACAGGTATTTATTGATAACTGAAGTGTCCGTGTCTGTCAGCCTGTATACCATGGATTTGGTTGTTCTGTCTGACAGCACAGGCAAGAGGCTCTATAAAGAGGGAGATAGCAGTGGAAATAATTCATACAAGCACCCCTGCTAGCCAGCATAAATGGTTGAGACATTTTCCCATTGTTTACGACAGATACTGTAGGTGTTGAATATACAATCTTTATCAAATTAATACAATTTGGCCAAAATCATAATTTTCTTGGACTGCAAAGAGAAGAGACCAGCTGACCCTATCAAATGCCTTTACCATGTCCAGTGACACAACTACAGAAGCAATCTTGTTGGATTTGGATATGTGACTCAAGTTGAATAGTCTTCTTGTGATGATGTATGAGTGTCATCAGTGTTAGCTACCCTTCAAATGTATTGTTTGTTTTGCACATTTCACATTCAAAGGTGCACATTTCACCTCCACCATTCAGGTTGGTAGCCATGTTCATGAATAGAACATCAGTAAGACTCAGTAATGAGTCAGTTCTCAATCCCTGTCACCACTGTTAAGCCATCCTACTGCCTACAGGTACCTGAAGATCGTCCGTCCTCTGGAGACCCACGCCCTGCAAACGGTGCGCGCTGCCCACTACATCTCCATGGCAACCTGGGTCACCCTTCTAGCCTTATCATCTGCGTACCTGACCGTGTCCCTCCTCACCACTTGGGGCACCGATCCCATCCCCGGGACCATGGGCTGTGACGCCCTCCACAGCCCCCAGCTCCTACTGCTCTACAAGATCATCCACAGTTTCTCGGCCGCCATCTTCCTCTTCGTTCTGTTTTCCCTCCTCTTCCTCTACTGGGCCACCATCCGCAGGCTGCGGCAGGTGCAGCTGAACCAGCAGAACCATCCATCCTGTGGATCCAGCAGGAAACTCAGCAGCTCCAAGAGAAACATGCTAGTTCTGGTCGCCGTGTTCTGCGTGTGCTTCGTGCCGTACCACCTGGTGCGCCTGCCCTACGCCTTCCTCCAGCCCTTCTTGCACAGGTGTGTCTGGAAGCAGGCCTTCTACTACCTGAAGGAGCTGACCGTGCTGCTGTCCGTCCTCAACGCCTGCCTGGACCCACTCATCTACTTCATCTTCTGTAAGGCCTTCAGGGCCCAGCTGGGCTTGAAGATTGTTTTTAGTAAGACGACGACGACGGCACAGCAAGACAGTACAGCCCCACCGCCAGAAGCTAGGAGAATTAGCCAGGGGAACCTGACCACCTTGACACACACCCAGACAAGGACGTCGTTCAGTATGTCGAGACGGGGCAGTGTAATTTAGGGCACACCACACTGCCCTCCTTCTGGACCATGTGCCAGTACAGTTGAATCTGTAGAAAATGGCTGTTGTAAAGGAACTACTGTATGTCATTTAATGCATCAAATTCATCTGATGCTATACATGTAAAACTGTTTTCCTTTGGTAGTCTGTTTACTCTAGCTATTTTTGTAGATATTGTACATTGTCTATCTACTGTCTATATTTTTTAAGCAGCTCTTCTGCATACCTATAAATGATTAGAACTTTGTATTGGGGAAATAAAAGACTGGAACATCCTGGAACGTAAATACTTATTTTGAAGCAAAGATTTGCTAATTTTAAATTTGAAGTCTCTACTCAATACAGAATATTAAATGGGTTACCTATGGGTACCCTTTGGTCTAGATAGAACATACATTTGCCTGGTACTGCTATTTTGCCTAGACCTCAGACATAATTTCTCCTTTAATGATGAACTCAGACCACAGCTTGACCTGACTATATCTAACCTGCGGTTTACCTTGTGATTTAGACAGAGAAATATACTGCTTGGCCTTGTTTCTGTCCCCAAACTCTCTATTCAACCTCCCTGCACACTCATTGTCTTCTTAATCAATGGCTCTAGTATTGTTGTCGACAAAAGTACAGTATTAAATCATTGTGCGTTCAATCAATCAATCAAATCATGGCTAAACGTACAGCAAACTCCAATAAATGATACACATTAATGAAGTCCACAGTTACAAATACTGAATACGGAACAAAAACCCACAATGCCCACAGGAAAACATTCAGATTAAATATGGCTCCCAATCAGAGATAACGAGCCGACAGCTGACACTCGTTACCTCCGATTGGGAGTCACACGACACCACAATTAACACACCCAAAACACAACCAACCGAATACACCCTTACAACCAACCCCACAACAAATACCCAACAAAACAAATACACCCTGGCTCAAATCCAAAAGTCCCGGAGCCAGAGTGTTACAGTACCCCCCCCTAAAGGTGCGCACTCCGGGCGCACCAGCATACAGTCTCGGGGAGGGTCTGGGTGGGCGTCTGTCCACGGTGGCGGTTCTGGCCCTGGTCGTGGTCCCCACCCCACCTTAGTCACCACCCGCTTCCCTAGCCTCCTCCACATGACCACCCTCCAACTTACTCCACCTGGATTTAGGGGCAGCACCGGGCTAAGGGACAGCACCTGGCTAAGGGGCGGATCCTGGCTGGCTGGCTCTGGCGGATCCTGGCTGGACGGCTCATGGCAGGCTGAAGGATCTGGCTGCTCATGGCTGGCTGACGGATCTGGCTGCTCATGGCTGGCTGACGGATCTGGCTGCTCATGGCTGGCCGACGGATCTGGCTGCTCATGGCTGGCCGACGGATCTGGCTGCTCATGGCTGGCCGACGGATCTGGCTGCTCATGGCTGGCGGAAGGCTCTGGCTGATCCTGTCTGGCGGAAGGCTCTGGCTGATCCTGTCTGGCAGAAGGCTCTGGCTGATCCTGTCTGGCAGAAGGCTCTGGCTGATCCTGTCTGGCAGAAGGCTCTGGCTGATCCTGTCTGGCGGAAGGCTCTAGCGGCTCTGGTCTGGCGGACGGCTCTGATGGCTCATGGCAGACGGGCGGCTTTGCAGGCTTTAGGCAGACGGGCAGTTCAGGCGGCGTTGGGCAGACGGACAGTTCAGGCCCCGTTGGGCAGAAGGCAGACTCTGGCCGTCTGAGGCGCACCGTAGGCCTGGTGCGTGGTGCCGGAACTGGAGGTACCGGGCTGAGGACACGCATCTCAGGGCTAGTGCGGGGAGAAGCAACAGGGCATGCTTGGCCCTGGGGACGCACCGTAGGCCTGATGCGTGGTGCCGGAACTGGAGGTACCGGGCTGAGGACACGCATCTCAGGGCTAGTGCGGGGAGAAGCAACAGGGCATGCTTGGCCCTGGGGACGCACATAAGGCCTAGTGCGGAGAGCAGCAACAGGGCATGCTGGACCCTGGGGACGCACATAAGGCCTAGTGCGGAGAGCAGGAACAGGCCGGGCTGGGCTGGCGACGCGCACCGTATCTCTGGTGCGAGAGGCCGGAACAGGCCGGGCCGGGCTGGCGAAGCGCACCGTATCCCTGGTGCGTGGAGTAGGAACAGGCCGGGCTGGGCTGGCGACGCGCACCGTATCCCTGGTGCGAGTGGCCGGAACAGGCCGGGCCGGGCTGGCGAAGCGCACCGTATCCCTGGTGCGTGGAGTAGGAACAGGCCGGGCTGGGCTGGCGACGCGCACCGTATCCCTGGTGCGAGTGGCCGGAACAGGCCGGGCTTGGCTGGCGACGCGCACCGTAGGCTTCGTATGAGGCTCAGGAACAGGCCGGGCTGGGCTGGCGACGCGCACCGTACACTTAGTGCGAGGGGCCGGAACAGGCCGTACCGTACTGGGGACACACACTACTGGCTGTACCTCGGGATTAGGAACGGGCCGGACCGGACTGGTTACACACCCCAGTACCTCTCGCCGTGCCTCTACACCTTCCTTCCCTGCCTTTCCCAGTCGCCCCCTTAACCTGGTAGCCTCCTGAATCCGTCCCTTCTCTGCCTCCGTCAGCCCCCTTAACCTGGTAGCCTTCTGAATCTGCCTTGTGGCAGCCTCCTGCTGCTCAGTCGCCCAAGCCATGTGCCCCCCCCCAAAAACTTTTTGGGGTTGCCTCTCGTCCTTCCGACGATGGCCCTGCCGATGCCGTTGCTCCTCTCGCCGTCGCCTCTCCACCGTCTCGTTCCATGGTCGGCGATCCATACCATCCAGGATCTCCTCCCAAGTCCAGGACCCTTTACCGTCCAACAGTTCCATCCATGTCCAGACCCTTTGCTCCTGGACGCGCTGCTTGGTCCTTTTATGGTGGGTTATTCTGTCACAACCGTCTTCAAAGGGAGCAGACCAAAGCGCAGCGCGTTGAGTGAACATGACTTTATTTGAGTAAAGACACGAACGACAAAAACAATAAACAAAGACGGCTAGTGAAGTCCACAGTTACAAATACTGAATACGGAACAAAAACCCACAATGCCCACAGGAAAACATTCAGATTAAATATGGCTCCCAATCAGAGATAACGAGCCGACAGCTGACACTCGTTACCTCCGATTGGGAGTCACACGACACCACAATTAACACACCCAAAACACAACCAACCGAATACACCCTTACAACCAACCCCACAACAAATACCCAACAAAACAAATACACCCTGGCTCAATCCAAAAGTCCCAGGTCACTGCCCTAATTTCAATGTGTGATCAAAAGCACAGATTAGGGAACAGAAATGACACTTCTCTATTGAGCACGTCTTACTTCTAGGCATCTGTTCCTGTAGCAGAGAGCAGACCGCAGAATCACACCACAGAATGTCATGTCCTCAAAATGTAAAACCTTCAAAACATGACATAATAGACTTGGTATATAGCGAAAAGCTTTTTGTTTTTGTGTGGTATGAGGAACGCTTTTACAAGAGGAAGTCCAACATACAGAATGCCAAAACAATATTGTAGCAAATAATAACACCTATTAAAGTGCATCCTCTTTTAAAGCATTAGCTTATATCTCAGTTTCTAATGCTAAATAGACCTGTAATATAGGACATTTCAACCAAAAATTGAATTTGTTTCAATCTACTGTACAAATGGTGAGATACTGTCAAGGAAACGTATTCCTTAGGTACAGTGAGATACAAAAAATTAAATGGTTAGACTGTTTTTCAAACTACAAAATGGTGAGATTCAGAATGGAAATCATTTTTGGGTTCCTTCTACCGGTCACTGACTGTCTAGGATATGACGTCTGGGTGTATACGCTAAAGAACTTGAACATGAAACTCAGTGCTCACCACTTCCTGTAGTGTCTCATTTTAAACAGACAGTGATGTCGGTGACTCAGCTGAAAACCAACAAACAGACACAACAGAAGAGTGACATTTAAAGTAAGGTTCTCATTTCTATTAAAAACAAGGTTGATAGGTATTGTACTAATATCGCTGCAGTACACTTTTTTATGTTTTGCTGGCTCGCCTCAGTTTTCTAAACTGATCAAATTTGCATGGCCTAACCACATGGGGATTTATACATTTTTTGTCATAGGTGCATTTTGTGTTAGACTTCCTATTCCCCAATTTATGATTACGCTTCCCACAAACTCCACTGATGACATTTACATTACATTTACATGACGCCCTCCCTAAGTGCGTCATCAACGATCAGATGGAGCCTTCCAGCGTGCTCTACATCCTGGTCTTTCTCACCAGCATGGCTGCCAACCTGGTAGCTCTGTGGGTGTTCGTACACAGCTACAACGCCATGAAGAGCATCAATGTCTACCTGGTCAATCTCCTGAACGTTGACCTCCTGCTCACCCTGGCCCTGCCCTTCAAGGTGGCCAAAGACCTGGGTGTGGCGCCCTGGGGCCTCATGGTCTTCCACTGCCAGGTGAGCGCCGTGGTAATCTACATCAGCATGTATGCGTCCATCTTCTTCCTCACCTTCATCAGCGTTGACTGCTACATGCAGATCAGGTATTATTATGGTTCTTTGAACTTATTTTAATGTTGTACTATCGTAAATTATTGTGTAAGGATTATTAGCTATTTTTTTGTCAAATGTTTTTCTAGGATTAGAGGCATTTTAAACAGTGATTGATTGATTTATTGATTGATCAGCCAGAGCTCCAGACTGTTCCGTATCCAGGAAGTGGGCTTCGCCAGGCTGATGTCAGTGGGGGTGTGGCTACTTGTGCTCCTCATCATGGTTCCCAACATGGCCCTGCCCATCCAGGACGTCCCAGAGAGGGAGTTCCTGAGCTGCTCCAAGCTGAAGCAGAAGGTGGGACTCCACTGGCACGGCCTCGCCGTCTTCCTCTGTACCATCCTGTTCCTCTACGCGTCCATGGCTGTCCTCGTCTCCAATGGTCTGGTGCTGAAGAGGCTGCTGGCGAGCAGGAATGACCCTGAAGAGTGGCGACGTGCTCTCCGCGCCACCGTCAATGTTGCGGCGGTGACGGCAGCGTATGTGGCATGCTTCGTGCCGTACCACGTGGTCCGGATACCCTATTTGCTAGCCCAGACCCAGGTCATCACTCCAGACTGCCAGACCAAGAGGCACCTTTTCCTGGCCAAGGTGTCCACGTTACTGCTGGTGGTGCTGCACCTCTGCCTGGACCCTGTGCTCTACTACTACTTCTCCAAGGTAGGTCAGGGAGGTGTTCAGGAGCAGGAGGAGCAGGCGGGATTCGAACACCAATCCAACCCCTGACCCTGCAGCTGAAGACTTATAGCTGCAGCCAATAACTGCCAAGGAGTAGGAGAGGGAGAGGGGGTGACAGAGAGAAAGAAACAGATAGACTGGGAGAGAGAGACACAGAGACTGAGAGAGAAAGAAACAGAGAGAGAGAAAGAGCGAATGACCACCTTTAGAAAATTTTGGTTTTACAAACCACTTTCCAATAGAGTAGCCTATAGGCCTAGACAAAAATTTAATGTTTTCTTCACAGTGAGGTGTTTTATGCAGTCCTATGATGTTGTGACGTTATGATTGCATTGTTTTACTTTTCATTGTTGCATGATCACATTGAATAAAAGTAACAGATGACTGTTTCTTTATTTCGCTAACTTCCTACATTTCAACACATTTTGCCATAGTGCAGAGAGAAAAATGTGCAGTTTTATAATGCTATTCTACACATTTTGTCATTAGGCTAAGATACAGTTGAAGTCGGAAGTTTACATACACTTAGGTTGGAGTCATTAAAACTCGTTTTTTAACCACTCCACAAGTTTTGGCAAGTCGGTTAGGACATCTACTTTGTGCATGACACAAGTCATTTTTCCAACAATTGTTTACAGACAGATTATTTTACTTATAATTCACTGTATCAAAATTCCAGTGGGTCAGAAGTTTACATACACGAAGTTGACTGGGCCTTTAAACAGCTTGGAAAATTCCAGAAAATGATGTCATGGCTTTAGAAGCTTCTGATAGGCTAATGGACATCATTTGAGTCAATTGGAGGTGTACCTGTGGATGTATTTCATGGCCTACCTTCAAACTCAGTGCCTCTTTGCTTGACATCATGGGAAAATCAAAAGAAATCAGCCAAGACCCAAAATATTTTTTGGGAGACCTCCACAAGTCTGGTTCATCCTTGGGAGCAATTTCCAAATGCCTGAAGGTACCACGTTCATCTGTACAAACAATAGTACAAACAATAAACTCGAGTCCTTCTGTTCACCCGACCTAGAATATCTCACAATCAAATGCCGACCGTATTATCTCCCAAGACAAATTTTCTTCGGTTATAGTCACGGCCGTGTATATCCCCCCTCAAGCCGATCCCACGACGCCCCTTAAAAAACTGGAAACAACATATCCTGAGGCTGCATTTACTGTTGTACTCGCGCTGCCAAAATCCTCGACCATTGCTATTCGAACTTCCGGGATGGTTATAAGGCCCTCCCCCGCCCTCCTTTCGGCAAATCTGACCACGACTCCATTTTGCTTCTCCCTTCCTATAGGCAGAAACTCAAACAGGAAGTACCCGTGCTAAGGACTATTAAACGCTGGTCTGACCAATCAGAATCCACGCTTCAAGATTGTTTTGATCACGCGGACTGGGATATGTTCCAGGTTGCTTCCGAAAATAATTTAGACGAATACACTGAAACGGTGACTGAGTTTAACAGGAAGTGTATAGTTGATGTTGTGCCCACTGTGACTATTAAAACCTACCCTAACCAGAAACCGTGGATAGATGGCAGCATTCGCGCAAATCTGAAAGCGTGAACCACCGCATTCAACCATGGCAAGGTGACTGGCAATATGGCAGAATACAAACAAACAGTGTAGCTACTCACTCCGCAAGGCAATTAAAATGGCAAAACATCAGTATAGAGACAAAGTGGAGTCGCAATTCAACGGCTCAGACACGAGACGTATGTGGCAGGGTCTACAGACAATCACGGACTACAAAAGGAAAACCAGCCACGTCGCCGACACCGACGTCTTGCTTCCAGACAAGCTAAACACCTTCTTCGCCCGCTTTGAGGATAACACAGTGCCACTGACGAGGCCCACTACCAAGGACTGTGGCCTCTCCTTCTCCATGGCCGACGTGATTAAGACATTTAAGCATGTTAACCCCCGCAAGGCTGCCGGCCCAGATGGCATCCCTAGCCGCGTCCTCAGAGCATGCGCAGACCAGCTGGCTAGTGTGTTTATGGACATATTCAATTTCTCCCTTTCCCAGTCTGCTGTTCCCACATGCTTCAAGATGGCCACCATTGTTCCTGTACCCAAGAAAGCAAAGGTAACTGAACTAAATGACTATCACCCTGTAGCACTCACCTCTGTCATCATGAAGTGCTTTGAGAGACTAGTCAAGGATCATATCACCTCTACCTTACCTGTCACCCTAGACCCACTTCAATTTGCTTACCGCCCCAATAGATCCACAGACGATGCAATCGCCATCACACTGCCCTATCCCATCTGGACAAGAGGAATACCTATGTAAAAATGCTGTTCATTGACTATAGCTCAGCATTCAACATCATAGTACCCTCCAAGTTCATCATTAAGCTCGAAGCCCTGGATCTGAACCCCGCCCTGTGCAACTGGGTCCTGGACTTCCTGACGGGCCGCCCTCAGGTGGTGAAGGTAGAAAAGAACATCTCCACTTCGCTGATCCTCAACACTGGGGCCCCACAAGGGTGCATGCTCAGCCCCCTCCTGTACTCCCTGTTCACCCATGACTGCGTGGCCAAGCACGCCTCCAACTCAATCATCAAGTTTGCAGACGACACAACAGTAGTAGGCTTGATTACCAACAATGACGAGACTGCCTACAGGGAGGAGGTGAGGGCTCTGGGAGTGTGGTGCCAGGAAAATAACATCTCACTCAACAAAACAAAGGAGATGATTGTGTACCTCAGGAAACAGCAGAGGGTGCACCCCCCTATCCACATCGACGGGACCGCAGTGGAGAATGTGGAAAGCTTCAAGTTCCTTGGCGTACACATCACCGACAAACTGAAATGGTCCACCCACGCAAACAGTGTGGTGAAGAAGGCGCAACAGAGCCTCTTCAACCTCAGGAGGCTGAAGAAATTCGGCTTAGCACCTAAAAACCCTCACAAACCTTTACAGATAAACAATTGAGAGCATCCTGTCGGGCTGTATCACCGCCTGGTACGGCAACTGCACCGCCCGCAACCGCAGGGCTCTCCAGAGGGTGGTGTGTAGATTGATGGGGGGGGAAAACAATGTAATACATTTTAGAATAAGGTTGGATCAGATTGGATTTTTTAGTATTTATAGCAGTGGTTATCAACTGTACTGCAGGGATGGAACGTAAGTCGCCGATAATTGAGGTTGTGGTGGCAGTTTCAGAGAGGTATTTGAGTGTGCGAGACTTGACGTCAGAAGAGTTACAGGGTGTGCTAAGTGGTGGTGTCCCATAATTTCAGGCTGTTGGCCTGAAGTAGGACTAAATAGATTTAAATAGTGGAGTAGGGTGGTGTTTGTTCTTTGTTTGTTTTTTAGTGAGTGTAATGTTTGATGGTAGGGTATTTGTTTATTTATTTGTTGTTGTTTTTTCAAGCAAAGTATAAGGGAGTTATACTGTACTCCAGTCTAGTAGGTGGCGGTAATGCAAAGTGTATTGGATGCCAACCGCCATTAAACCTCATCGAAGAAGAAGCAGCAGCATCATTCTTGCTGCTTCTAGTTCAGTAACCATACCTGCGCGATCAGGTGCGCGTGTGGTCTCAGTTAAATAGAGTAGGCTATAGCCTATGCATGGGTGGAGAAGCACGGGGCAGTTATCTTTCCAAGGAAATGTACTTCCTAAATAGGCCTATGATTAGGCTATCGTTTACTACATTGCCTAGAAAGGCCTATATATTGATCACCCATATTTCTCCATCTGAAAATCTTTCCACTCCTAGAAGGTAGGCTATAAAAAATATCTCAAGAGAAAGTGCACGTCTCTCCAACTCTGCTCTCTTCAAACTACATCTAGCGTATTGGCAGATAGCCTAATATGTGAGAATCTTTGGTAATTGAACCTATTTCTTAACGTTATTTTCTGTAACGTTAGAGCTGTTTATTACTGTGTCAGTGTAAAAAGTACGGAATTAACTAGGGAAACTGACTGATCAATAACGTTACATTAACTACTACAAAAATCACATTGCACTGAAAAAAACTGTCACAATATCAATCTTCCATCGTTTGGCCGATGGTTTCATCGTTTGATTCAGGTCTAGTGTGATTGAGACAAAAATAATAGCTAACGTTTGCCAACTTTTGTCCAGCTCTCTCTCGAACTGTACATCAACTGGCGAAAGCTAGCCAAGTTAATTTACTTCTGTTGAAATGAGACAAAACAATGGCTACAAAACGTGTCCATACAAACAACAGCTGTTAGATAGTAGTAATAATAATAGCCACCTCGCTATTTGACAGATAGCTAGAGGCTAGAGCTGACCTGACTGTGGTAGCTACAAGCTAGCATATCTTATTCATTCACCTCAGTCGAAAAGGGATGAAACATTAGCTAACGTTACATGTCAGTTACAATAGCTCAGCACTGCGAATAAACACCATTAAAAAAAAATATGTTAAGTTAAACAGCAGTTCCCTTGCCAGCTACATCAGTCAACTAAGGAGTTGCCAGTTTCTGCTCTGCTTCCTTTTACAACTCGGTGAAAGAGCGCAACACATACACACTGAACTAATGGTCAAAAGTTTTAGAACACCTACTCATTCAAGGGTTTTTCTTTATTTTGACTATTTTCACATCAAAACTATGAAATAACACATATGGAATCATGTAGTAACCAAAAAAGTATTACACAAATCAAAATATATTTGAGATTTGAGATTCTTCAAATAGCCACCCTTTGCCTTGATGACAGCTTTGCACACTCTTGGCATTCTCTCAACAAGCTTCATGAGGTAGTCACCTGGAATGCATTTCAATTAACAGGTGTGCCTTCTTAAAAGTTAATTTGTGGAATTTCTTTCCTTCTTAATGCGTTTGAGCCAATCACTTGTGTTGTGACAAGGTAGGGGTGGTATACAGAAGATAGCCCTATTTGGTAAAAGACCAAGTCCATATTATGGCAAGAACAGCTCAAATAAGCAAAGAGAAACGACAGTCCATCATTACTTTAAGACATGAAGGTCAGTCAATACGGAACATTTCAAGAACTTTGAAAGTGCAGTCGCAAAAACCAACAAGCACTATGATGAAA